GGAAGCTAGGGTTTATGTCCCAAATGAGACTCATGTCACACCAGTTTGATCATAATCGGTATTTGTGGTAATTTTCTTACATCACTGTCATACGGATCCGACAGATGTTCGATTTTACCCTTAGATAATTTCGATGTCTGGGAGGAAATACTGTTAGAAGGGTCCAAGTCGTACCCCCCCCCCTCCCACTCGACGGCCGTGTGCTCAACCTTACTAAATTGCGGCTAGTTTGCGAAAAGTCTGAACATTCAAGCAGTTGGTTTCATTTTAATCCTCTTTTTCATTGTTCGCTTGAAACAAAGACCCAAGAAAATTTTAGGCAAGATGGAGGTAACGTACATCAGGTACAAAGACTATACACTATGCGCCAAAGTTAAATAAAAAAAATTGGATTAAGTGTATCAAAATAATTAATTTAGACAGAAGCAATATCTAGTTAATAGCTCACAGCATTCTTGGTTGAATGAGCTGACGTAACGGTTCTAGCCCAGGGAGACATTATGGTTGCCTCCACGCTCCAAGATTTGTAATTTTACTCATCTGGTATGTATTCGTAGATGATCTGAACGAGAATCACATCGTTTCGGAAGTTATTTTTTCGGCTTCTCTAACTCCTAACTGGAGTTAGTGCAGCAAGTTCAAAAAGTTGTTTGCTTTCTCTCACTGTGTTATTGACTGCCTACCAAGACACAATCATTACGAATCTATACATGGACAATTCCTGCTCAGAAATGGAAATTAGGTCCTTCTATGATGTTTTTATTCCTTTCAGTGCGCCCGTATTTGATGATAATTTAAATTCAAAAGAAAAGATCATATTGCAGTACTGCATGAGTTGTGTCCAGGATGATTTCGCTGCATCTCAACGCGGTGCATACTGCAGAAAATACAATGTTTATATAGGTCTTTAGTATGGCAACAAAGCAAAGCAAAGCAAATACAATAAAACAGACGAAACATAAGAGAGGGAGAGGTAAAACGACCATGTCACTAGGGTAGGGATGGACTAACATAAAGTTCCTTTGTAGTCCAGTTGAGATGCAAGATTGCAGTGATCCCAGTGCGCATTGGTTTCCTCGAGCAATATGGGGCATGCAACAGTTATTCTATTTTATTTTGAAAGCCTTTGTGGTCCAATAATATTCGCGCTTCTAATTGAAATTTACGAAAATAACGTTGTCTCAAGTCGATGATACCAAAGAACGACTGTTTTCGCCACAAACTGCTTTGATTGATCAAGCGGTCATTTTAGGCTAATTAAATCTTTTCTGTCGCATATAGTATGCTAACTTCTGTACTGATGCTGTCCGGAAAACACGTTTGTGTACAATAACAAATCTCCATAAATCCCTGTTGCACATACTAGCCGAAAATTCACTCCCAAAACAACCGAGGAAATTTAGTAGGTATCTGTCATTTGTCGAGCTAAATGAGCTTCAACTGCATGCACTTTCGTATGGCCTTTGCTTTTGTGTTGAAAATCAACAACATCGAATCGAGGCACATTTTGAATTTTTCCGAACACCTGAAAATGTTGAAAACAACTTCAAAAGACAAAGAAGCGTAGATAAAGTCGAAGCTGGTCGACTTGGTGAGTCAATATCAAATAACACCATCAAGACAAAAGTCATTTCTCACCCCCGAGCATCTATCCTGTTTTAAGGAATCAAAGGAGAAGTCCGATTTGGTCATTTTAAACCTTAATAAGGCATCGGGAGCTGTTCTGATGGACCGTGCAGATTACCAAATAAAGATGGAGTGTATCCTTAATGACACCAGCAAGTTCTTACGAGAAAAGAAATGTGATAACCTTAAAGAGCTGGAACGCAAAATGGCTTCTGAAGTTCAATTTCAATTAGAGGCACATTTCATCGATGCAAACACCACGCGGGACCTGAAGACGAGAACAACTCGGATTCCCCAACTTCATGGCCTGCAGAAACTTCAAAAGCGAGATGTGTGACTCGGACCAATTCTACCCATTACTAACTCACCGCAGCACAACATGACGAAATTGCAGATGTTAGAACCAGTCAATAGATTAATGATTAAGCATTCAGTTAAGGACAGTTTTGAATTGATTGACATTTTGAACAAGATCAAAATAGAAAGAAAACACATGGCTTCGTTCGATGACCAGTTCGTCTGGTCATACAATCACCTGCGATCATAGTCGCCAACTTTTCGGTTACCGTGGCAACCTTTCTCAAGGCAGGCTTTACAATCAAATTTTGATGCAGCGAAATCGTTCTGGACATAAATCGTGCAGTATTTCAATATGGTCTACTCTTTTGAAATTAATCTCAGGAAAGTCTTGCTGTAGTTTAATTTTAATTGGTAATGGTTTCAATCATGGATCAACCCAACCTTTACTTTATTTCGGCCTATCTGATCTCTCTCTCTGTAATACTCACCATAGGAGATGCTATATTGGACAAGGTCATCGCTAACCCTCCTAATATGTTCGCTCTCCAACTGAGGGCGCCAATCTCCACTATTGACTACTGTCTCTTGTTTAGCAGACTATTAGTTTACTCTGGGTCGGCATACCTCGCTTTTATTCAAACAAAACTAAACAAAACATTTCGGAATGTTTATGCGGAAATACTCCTTTTCATAAGAAAATCTCTTGCGATCATCTCCTCGGGGTTTGCCATTCAGCACTTCCTTTGTTCTGTTAACACTTTACAGGAACAGTTAATGTGATTTTAAATTCATGCTTTCTTGTGGAAACAGTTTTATATCACACTGGCAGAGTATACTCTCCGCAGCTTTTTAGAAAACGAAAAGGACAAGCGTTCAAGCTGCCCCAGACAGTCACTGGGAATCAGCTTACGCTGCAAACTAGAGCAGAGATCGAAACACTGAGCGCTCGATTCGCAAAGTAAATTCTAGGAACTGGGGATGGAAGACGGTTATGGCAAGGGATGAGACTGTTGTGCGGACAAAAGAAACGGACAACAAACAAAAGTATAGAAGCGAACAGCCATATTGTTGCATTCATTTTTCCTTCAAATAATCCGCTGTCTTTTTACTTATGTACTTTATTTGCAAATCTTTAGATGATTCTCAAAAATCCGTTCCATGAGCTTTCCTTCATTATTCTTCCGCTTTTGATTCCGTACCACGAGTGTTTCTTCTCCGAACAGTAAAATCATTTAGTTGCTCCAAAAACCCGTTGGTAAATAATTCTAGAGTTCTTCAGAGTGCTGTGCTTTCTCCATACGTATTTTCAACATTCACCGATAACTAACCCTCAATCCCACCAGCCGCAACCTTTGTATATGCTGATAATGTAGTCTACTGGCAAGCCATTTTAAATCAACCTGACATACAGTCAATTTATGACAGTTTATTACAAGTGCAATCACTCTCAAGCCAAACCGGTCTTCAGTTGAATGCTTCTAAATTCTTCGATTGCATTTTTAGTCTTTCCCTATCGGAACATCCCTTGAAACCCTCAGTTATCAATTCCGGACCCATCACCAGAACACACACCACCATAGCTAGCAATCTACTGTGGTCCTCTTATGTGTTAGCTTGTGTTGGTAGAACGCGCGGCTTATCCTTCCAGATGCGCAAGCTATGACAAATTAGGGTGAAGCATGAAACTATGTTCTTTTGTTTTTCAATTCATTTTTCCTGTCATACTTTATTTTGCTTGTACTACTTAAAAAGGATTTAATTATTCTTCTTCGGCGTTTGGTAATTATCAGCCGTGTTTCTCTTATTCCTTTAGGCACTGTAATCACAATATTGTGTGATTCTCATATTACTTCATGTGAGAATTTCGCCCATAATATCTTAAAGGCCCTAGTAATTCGCTCAATTCCGAAATATCTGCTTGCCGATCCCACGTTACAACCAGATCCAATTATCGCTGCTTACCCTCTTGCATAGACATTTATTGAAACTCAACAATTCGCTATCTGGCTCGCATTCTAACTCACAAGGTGAAGATTGGAAGCGATCTAAATTTAAACCTACAAAAAAGAACTCTCCTCTAAGTTTTATCGTTGTTTTATATAACTTAATTTTGTATCCCATTGTAACGGTGGACACATTTTTACTGAAATGTAGACATAGTTGTCTGCACAACTCATTACAATACAATAAAATACTCGGATTGCACCATTAGTATTACGATAAGCTGTTCAGTTTCATGTATTTTCGATTTTACCGAATTATTCATTAACTTCAGGTTGGGAAAATTTGCAGCCGAACTAAAGCGCAAAATAACTCATCCGGTCCACAGAAAAGCAAAAGAACAAGAATAGGATACAAATCCCATGTGGGTTATTTCATTTTTGTATAGTTCATTGATTTGTACAAAGCAATGTTTATGCATTAACACAAAAATGGCAAATTTGTGTATTCCTACTAGTTGGATTCATTAGACCTCGGACACGAGTGGAACGCATGTGCTATATGGGGAAATTTCATGAGTCAAAACAATGAACCAATGTTTTCTTCTATTATTCGTGTCTTAAGATCAGTTCAGAACCTATCCTGGACCCGAGAGTAGTGAAGTGAGTGAGACAAACTGTGAGGAAAATCTGCAAAGTGCAAGTTTGTGTGTTCGAGTGGGATTTTACAAACAAATGACCTAATGGATTCACGTGACCTGGTCAAGAGCGAAAACGATGAGAGTAGGAAAACAATATGTACACAATGATGCACAGGTGTATAAATCGGGCAATTCAGGCAATGGGGGTTGCATAAAGGTAAAGAAATTTACGTATTTTGTAGGTAAGCATAATTACAAGCCAATTCAGTTCATATACACAAGATACAGTAGAATAAAGAATAATAGAGAGTACGAGTGATGGAAATAGAGTAGATAGTAAGTTGTTAATGACAAAGAACTGGCAAAAGCGCACGGGAACCAATAAACTCCTGGGGATCGTTATCAGGCTAATAGGTCAGGCAACGAGCGTAAATGCACAATATCTTCATGGGATGACATCCGTTTGCACTGTGAGGAACAACCATTGGGGCAATCAAACCTGGCTGCTGAGCTTTCCTTCGAACAGCTCATTTTGATTGCTCCTATCTTCAGCCTGTGAAGATAGAACAACCAAACCTGCAGCTCCATTCCATATATGGTTTGATTGGTCACTGAAATCCGAATACCCCTGTCGACTAGATGGTTCATACAGATAGCTTGACAAAGTAGACATCGGTGGAGGCAGGGAAACTGGACTACTTGAACGGTCGCCTTCACCATTACTGACCGCACCTACCATGATATGCGATTCTAACGAAGCCAAATTGTACCGATAACTACGGACCGAGGCCATACAATCTTGATTCTCACTCAGTTTGCATGCTGAATCACCCGAATCGGAAGAATCGGTTCGTGTCTCTGTTTGTGCATTAGACATAATTACATAAGCCGGCTTTTTAGTGACATGGTGAAATGGTATTCTTTGAGCTGCTGTATGGTTAGGTGATGTTTGAGTATTTCCCTCACCACGATCATTTGGAGCTGGATCAGAACGATGGTTATTCTGTTTTGTAGCAGGGCTCATTGTGAGCGGATAATGATGAACGGTCCCCAACGAATAAGTACCGGCATCCGAACCACGACTTTGTCCAACTCGAATGGCAACAGAACCCGCCGGATGAACTGTTGAGTTACTAAACAGCTTCTGCTCCGCTAAGGTTGAGACCAGCACTGCATTGGTTGAGTAATTCGTGCTGTCGTGGGCATCAACAAGATGCACTCCATTGGACACTGGAAGTGAGGAAGCCATATCTAATTTATGCGAGTTCACACTGCGTTTCATCGTTCCACTTGCGTCAGACATGACTCCAAACTGAGCACAGTCAGAAGCAGTTTTTGAAGGAGATAAGGAAATCACACCGTCATCGGATCTCGGATTTACACCGACGGATTCATTACCTTCCTGGACCAGGGATGTAACATTTATTGGAGTAGGACGCCAATGACGATCGAATGCGGTCAATGTCAGTGGACTGGTACTCTGATCTGATCTGTGTAAGCTGACATGATTGGTATTTGGGTTCTTTTGAACAGTGCTATAAAGAACTGTCTCCCCGTCCAAAAATACCGGCACAGTTCCGTTTTCACCTGCTATGGTCATATCCCCGTTGCACCGTACATAAGCAGCATTTTCGTTATTGAAACTGGCAATAAGATTATCTGCTGAATTCTTCATAGTCATTGTGGTGGTTTCTANAATAGGTGGGGTTTGCGCAGGGTGAAACTAATCCAAATTAGCAACCAAGAGAGGAAATTAATCACGAATAAAACCATGGAGGTCAAACATAATGGATCGCCGTTCTCCCAGTACACTCGCATCAGTTCACATTCGATGGGGATGCGTAAGCCGGTAGATAACATCAGAAAACATATTCCCGATAGAGCGGCTATTGTACTGTTATGTGAACGTATCCAAACCCATAGCAGCTTTGAACCGCCAGATGGATTGCTTGTACAAGTCGGTTTTATCATACTTCGACGCATCCCTACCGTCCCGTTTGTATCTGTCAGGCTTGCATCGATAGGTTGATGCAAGCTGTAACCACTTTGTAATGATACTGCAGCCGATGTATGGGCGTTGCCTTGACAACCATAATAACGATGTGTCTGTTCTACATGGGCTTGTGGACGATCCCATTGACCTAAACAAGCTAATCCAAATGCGTATAGCAAGTGAAAATTGATCAGGTATGGCAAAAATGCTGAACCGGACAGAACAACCAAAGCCCATGTAGGTAACTGAACCGGAGACTTGATGAGCATTAGACTGGCTCGAAGTTGTTCGAACGTTTNTGCTTAGACCAACGTTGGGATCTAACCGGTCTGGATAGGTTAAGCAGGTAGCGTACTGAATCAACAGACTGGTTGATGCATAGTCCACCGTCAAGTGGAGCAAAGTGATCCCAATCAGAAACGAGGTCACACATGCGTAAAGAGAAGATAAATGCCAGAACACTGAGGGTAAACTAATGCTGACGAGTAAACCGGCCACAATGAAGTTAATCAGTTCGATTGAAATCGATTTGGGTGCGGATGTTGCTGCCGTAGGATGATTGATCTCTGGGACCAAACGAACCAAACTATCTCTGTCAATCCAGCGAAGTCGATTGGCTGTTTCTGATTGCTGTTCCGTTTGGGGTAACTGACCGAGACCACCCAGTGCTGGAGGTTGAAGAGAGAACAATGATGCTGCCGCAAGTCGATGATCCGAAACTAGTTCACTGTGCAACTCGGTGTACTTCGTTAATCGTGAGGCCAGTGGATGCGGCGGGAAGAGGAAGCTCAGGTCTGTCTGCCAAAGGTATTCTGTAATTCCGTAAGACGAACAGAGAGGGATGTCGGAATAAAAAAATAAGGGAAAGAAATGGTGTGGCATGAATAATCAATTACGCGGTGAAATTAATCATTTTTGTATTCGAAAACCAATGAAAATGGATAATCATGAGGTCAAAGTTGGATTTTGGGAGAAATATTATTGTTGCAAGGGCACTTAAAACGAAATAAATCCAGTAAAGTTCAAAATAATCAATTTCTAATTAGACAATCATTCAAACATAATTAAAAAATCCATCTGAATCGAAAATGATTCCTTTTGTCACAAAACGAACTATTTTCACGAAGTGCAATAGTGGTTCGCTCTGTAACAACCATTTTAAAAACTCTTGATGGCCCTTTGATTTGATTATTCAGTATTTTTACTTCAAGAGTTCATTTTAGTATTGATCACTTTCAATCTGTTGCCATCTTTCTGTGAAAGGCGAGATTCGTTCCGATTTTCAGTTCTCAAATACTGTCTACGTTTTTCGGTCTAATGTTATCAGTTTGTGCGAAGAAGAATTTCATGCAAGTAAATAGTTGAGAAAACCAATAGACAAAACATCGGAGTACTTTTCATTCTACAACCACTGACTCAAGCTGAATTAATGTTGGCTGTGTGCTTCGAGAAACACAAGCCACAAAATGTGTTCATGTAGTTCAAATTTAAATTGAAGAAATTGAAATTTAACTCCGTTTGCAACACATTCAATTATAATTTTCTTAAAGATAGGTTGAATCAAGATATGTTTATCAGATATGCCGTCGTAATCCACCAATCGGCTGTACACATCAAGATGTTCAGAGCAATATTCACACGGTAAAAACAGCGGTAGTTTGAGTGGATGTGAATTCATTTGAATACATCAAGCCAATAAAAATGTGACGCGCGAGAATTTGTGTTACAAGTAGTGTGGTGTTCCATTTCATCAACAAATCCGCATAATCCTTTCGAATGGTTCAAAATAATATAAATGGCACTTTTGTGCCTGATTACGAGCTTTCTCGTTTTCGAGGACTATTGGAAGTATTGTACATTTCCACAAACTAGTGTCATTTTACTCACTTATAAAAGTAGTAGTAATAATAATATGTTTTGGGCACCTGAATAGTGACTGACGTTTTTGGAATCTCTCATACAGATTTATGATCAGAAAGTCAAATCTAACCAACTCCGATTGAAAAAACCAAGGTAGACTTCTATTTTCAAATACGTCATAACTGAATTTAAAACATTTCCATGCATTGAAAAACTCACAACCAAAGCTTTCTTCCAGCCCCTAAATATATTAGAGAACGTACAACAAAGGCCGTTTCGAAGCTCAGTCGAGGAGTACACTAGAACATCGGTGACGTCAGGAAACCGTGAAAAGTCAACATGGATAAAGTTTAATCGACCGAAAAATAACAGGCCTTGAATAAAACTAGAGATTATTTTGAAAGTTTCATAAATTGATGACTTCAGTAGGAATAAACAAAATGAAACTGGATACGATTATCTTGATGAGGCAAAACAGGATAATGTAAACTACACTGATTTCTCGTAATATTCTCTGTTCGACTTACTGGGAGCCGGCTCTTTAAATCAGTTGAATTCAGGAAATTGCTTTATTACACCACCTGGTATGAATTAAGCTGTTAAATATCTCACAAAAATGAATAAAGAGACATAAATAAATACATCAGCTTTATGGATGTAACGCTGTGATGAAATCACAAAACATATTCGGTCCGGATGACATCAAAACTGGGCAAGATAAGAAACCATGGAAAAGTTGTATGGCTTTATGTCTGCTTGAAAGTTGTTGTACTTGTGTTGTGGGGGTACTACTCACATTTGTGAATAGTATCAAAAAGAGCGAATTGCGGTGTTTGAACAGATAACTACTGCCTGTTTAATTCATTAACGTGTGTGCTGCCGGAGATTGCACTGACATGTTCCAAATGAGATATCTTGTCATATGTTCTTCAAATTATCCATAGCTTAACTCTGGGTTGTAATGAACAATTATCCTCGCCTAGGCACCTCCTTTGGAATTATAACACTTGCAGCAAGTAGAGGAGGTTAAAATAAATTTATATAATGTCAGGCTGAGAGCGTCACTGGAAGCATGCGGTGTCAAACGAGTCAGCTTATTACAAACTTTGGTATGCTGCGAGACGATCTGATAGCTTGTGTTAGTTCCGGTTAAATCGCAACGCATGGGATAATATCTGAGCGAACTGAACACCCCACATTTTTCCTTTTGCAATAAGCCAGGAAAATCACGGGGAAGGCATAGGGCCAGTGTGGCAATACACAGGCACGTATAAACTGTTTTATCAGAATGGCGGGAGTGGTTGAGCGCCTTAGACGGAGAAAGAAACCGAAATCCTACTGACTTTGGGAAAAACATGGTTGATCTGCTCAAAGTAAGCAAGGGAATATCACTCAAGTGTTCACCTGAGTTTCTCTGACTGTATAGTGGGAAGAACAGAGTCGTTGGGAAAACGTATATGTATTCAGTAAGAAACCATTGCAAACAAGCATATAAACCAATTAGGTGGGGAACGAAGGGATCAAAGTGGTTTCTTGAAACATTCAAAAGAAAATCAGTCATTTCGGAGCGCAATAGTAGGTGGAGAGAATCTGTGATGTGCAAGAATAGATAAAATTTGATACCGTTCAACACCCAAATTTGTCACTATAGTCTAAAATATCATTTTTACAGCCTCATACTTATTATCGAGAAATACATTTGGAAAACTACATCGTCAAAGGTGGACCAATTACGAAAATAGGCGAGCTGGCTACAATGAGTTATGTGCAACTGTGGGGAAACTTATGGTTGAAGATATTGGACAGGATAGCAGACAGGGAACTGACGCATTCTTTGTACACAGTCCGTTGTAGTGGATCCGACCCTGCAGTTTTGCAGGGGTTCAGTGATCGCAGATCTCCACACATGCCTGCCTGATCATTCACAAACGGACTATTCAACTCAAGCCTGGGGCTGGCCAGCCTGATCAATCTACGCCTTTTTTAAATATTCATGAAACGTGGAATATACACGGAAGAACCAGAGAGCTGTTTAATCATTTGCCAGTTTTCTCCGAGGTCTTTATTTTAAAGAAAGCGCTGGGCAGAAACAAAATTTAGACCACTAATTTCAATCTGAATGGACTTTGTGGGATCTTCAGCAAACTGTATGTTTAGATTTGAACACACGTTCCTTTTTCGACAGGTATTACAGAACAGGAGAACAAAAAAGATCACATCGAATGTGGAGTCCTAACCGTGGGCAGTTCAAATTCGTTAACCTCTTTTGACAATGAATTGTCGGCATCGTTTTATAGAAGACAGGGGATGTGAAGTTCATTACGAACCAGAGATAGGAAAAAAGAACCCACCGGGTCCACGTTCCCCAAGCTGTGCAAGCTTAACAGGATTTACATACCTAAAAACCATTGGTCCTATAGTTTTGACGATGATGAGCCTGTGGTTTCAAATGTGCTATTAATAAAAGCTATCAGATTCTGGTGAATTACATAAAAGAAAATAATCTTACCATTGTTTTACAACTGTTCAGTTAGCATGAACACTTCTTTTGTTATACTTTTAACCCCGGAAATCTGGAGGAGTTTAGGTGAAGATTCATATCATTCATACTATCTATATGTGCTCGAAAGTTTGTAACTGAAGCCATTTACCACGGAGAACCCGAGCAAGTGTAACTGAATATTGCGCACAAATCAGTTGAACATGGTTGGAAAGTACCGTTGTTGGGTGCAATAAATTCTCGTGATTCCCATACGTAAAATGAAAAGGTGAAAAGCTTTTCATGGATCCATTTCTCTTCACTTTCTGACTTTACAGTGATTAACCTAGGTTCGTCGTGCGCCGGTTTTCATTGCCACCTCGTGACTGCCTATTTGGATGAATTAGTGAAGGGCAGATCACGATGTTCAAATCGCTTTCAGAGTGGAACTAAAAAATTCTCATAGACGAAGGTTGTAAAGACTTGGAGAAGTTTCACAAGTGCATGTGAGGCAGTTGCTTTTCTCGTAGTAGAAGTTATTAATCCATAGGTACAATCGATGACCTGCTCAGAGTTTAGGTTAGCGATCCCCTCTGTCCATTTGAATAACTGAGATTGTTTAGGGCGACCTAGGCATTCTCTCATTCGTCCGAGGATCCAATTTGAGCGCTGACACCTGCAGTGACTATTATGATGTCCATTGACAAAACTTCTGGAGCAGCTGAAAAAGATCCTCCTTGATTCCAGGTGTACTTCGATCGGTCGGTGGATACACCGATACGACGAATAAACATGGACGCTTCATCCTTTAGCTGTTGACCAAGACTAAATCATTCAGTCCTAAAGTACACAGTCGGCTCCTCACTGAAATCCAGTCAAAACTGAGGGCACAGCCCAAGGCACTTTGTGCAGTCTCAATACCAACAGCACCGAGAACGTAACAATGCCGAAACAATTGACACAAAAAGCGAAGAGGCAAGCGTGAATTTGGTGTGGCTAGGGAGAATGCGTGGAGACGTTTGAAGTAGGGTCTTGTTTGCATGTTTTGGAGATGCAACAAACATCTGAATTAAAAATTTCAAGGGTTGAATTTCATTTTTATTTTTACTTCCTTTTTATTAAATACACATTGACCTAATTTTCGGGAAGGAAAGCGGTCAATCAAAGGGCTGTCATAAATCACAATGGGAAAAGTCAAACGGTGATTCGATTCGAACGCAGGTCTTCCGGGTGACGTCACCATTGAGCCACTACCGCCCTAGTTAGGGCATCTTGTTCACCGATCTTCTGATATTGAATCCAGTTAACTCAAAAGAAGATTCTGGTTTCATCATTCCTGTACCTTCTAAATAGTTGACCGTACTGGTTAAACGCTTAGCGATATCTCATTGATGGCGTGAACAGGAGGCATCTGTAAATATTTGGAAGTGCGAGAAAGAACTGAATATATGACCGAAGGTTTTCTAAATGAGTACCTGATACTTTAGGAAACAACATACTTCGCGGTAGCCCATTCCGGCGAAGGAGTTTTCCGTTTGGACCCTTAACCGGATACTTCGACGCAAAATTCTGACCCACAAGGCAGTGAGTGTTGATCGGGAGCTTGACCGAAGCATCCGTGTGGGGTTCAATTCAGTATATTGTTCGCTGGTGCATGAAGTATCAGTCTGCTATTCGGGATCGGGCATTAGCCTTATGCACCCAGTGAGCCAGGCGGAACGCGGACGTGGTAGCACCTTATTGACTGGGGGCTGCTCAGCTTGGACGGGCGATAGCTGTCCGACTTAGTTCGAAAACTCTCACCGTCGAGAGGAAGCCCGGGGAACCCCGCCCCCACGTCCATTTAGCGGGGGATTTTGACCGGTAAACTGCCGGAGTAACCTCTCCAGGGGTAACAGTATGTGATCCAAGGAAGCCAGGAGATGCCCAATCAGCTGACCTTTGTCTGGCCTCTACGCATCGGTCTTTCAGGTATAATTGGATCTGTGGCTATGAGAAACCCTCCCGTATCGCTCGCAGGGCCATGGGGGTGCACAAGCCATCACACCACGTACAGGTGTAGTCTTGTTGTGGTGGGCCGTCAGAAGCAAACCGACATTATTATAATATTTAAAACAACAGACAGGAGAGCCAGATGAGGGATCATTGAATAATGTTGAAAAGATACCGATTGATAGTCAACGAGAATTATGTCTGATTTGATTCCTGCACCTTGCTCCTTTCGTAAAAATGATCTGCCAGCAACACAAAAAATAACTTATCAATCAAAAGCTGTCCGTTTTTGAATCAGATGGGATCGGAGAATAGAATGAAAATCAAATAACCTTTGAAAGAGGAGACGCTGAGCAGAATTAACAAAAGAAGTTGGGATTTATTTGAAACATGAGCGGCCAAGAATACAGTGTCCATCTATTTTGGTTGTAGTTAAGTTGCCAAGGCCACTGTTTCATTAACCCAGACGTCACCCAGCCACCAATGACCATCTTATCTGTTTCTGTAAAAGGCAGTAAAAAGATTACTGCGGATAAGTAGTACTAGCTTAAAGTGACCCACATGGTCCATTAGGTTAATTGGTGAAGGTGCTTTAGATTAAAATGTGAAAATTGATTTGGAGATACTTTCACTAACTGAAACTTACAAAAACAACATTTTGCAGACACGATGAACTATCCATTATATTTACCGTTGGAATGAGTTGTGTTGCTGAACCCAACTAGGACTTACCTGCTCTAGTTGATTATGTAATAATAGGGGCTTCAATAATCATAATTGTGATGTTTGGTACAGTCTGTGCATTTTGTTAAGTACCACATATCTGTCAATTCACTGCTTAGTGATTTAATTCACCAATTGATGGACATTGGAAGTATTATTCTAACATGTATGTAAAGGTTTAATACCTAATTTTGCTATATTTACTACAGTTTTTAAAACTCCATTCTTTTGAATTTTGGCTTTAAAAATGACCCAGCAACTTAGCAGCATACTAAATCTAGTCAGCTTAAATAATGGCGTGTATGCAAAGACCTTTGCAGCTTTTACTGGCATGTGTCATGATATCAGACGATTTGCATCATCAGGAGATGCCGCAACTCCGACAAACCAAAGGAGTTTTCCACCAAGTACAACAAAACAAGACAGTCGTAGAAAGAAGCGAGCTCTTTAGTCGACACAGCAAGGTGAACAATAAAGTGGGATTCTGTGTGCGGATGTGTAAGACCGGGTAAGTAAGAATGAGTCACATGAAATTCAGTCGGCAACTGGATAGTAAAACTAACGGGAGAGGAATCAGCAACAATGATGAGGTCGGTGAGACTGAGAGGACGAACGAAGGGATGGACGCGTTGTGCAGCAAATGAAAGCAGGGGACTCGGACAGGGCAGAAAAAAAATTCACTGACTGACAGGTGAACGCTTGCCCAAGGGAGAGAACGAAAGCCCATCTTACTGAGGGAGACCCAAATGCGATTCACCATGCAGTTGGACCATGGTGTTGATGATATAGGTGAGTAGGATAGGACAGATTGATGCGACATCAATACCTCTTCATCAACAAGTTGAGAAAAAGTATTAGTATGCATTCATCTGTTTAATCTTTCATCCACTAATGAATGGGAAGATAAATAAAGAAAAGGTTGAAGAATCNAACTCATACCTGAAAACAGCATGTTGAAAATGAAATCATAAAAATCATATCTATAAACTAGTAAAGCTCTATGATGTTGGTGTGCGAATAACTACCCGATATCGAACACTATCAGTTTACCGGGAAATAAGCCAAACTAATACGGAGAAAGTAAGCTTGACCACACCAGGAAATTCAATAAAGTAAGATATCCTTCATATCTGCAGATGATAATGTGTGCTAATAAATAGATAGTTGCATATTTTCTCGTTGCAACTCGGCAGATTGATTAGTTCTGGCATTAATATAGAACACATAATACTGTCACCAGCGATATCGCAATTTTCATTCGAACGTTGTTCTGATTACTCAGTTCTTGATGCCTTGCTCAACGGGACCTCGGAAAAATTGTCTCATATTTCAGTATTCTTACTGATCGTTCAAAACAGCGGGGAATGTCACACCGAATACAATCTATATCCATTGCAATCTTCCAATGCAGGANGAGTCTTCAATGCATCTAACCACCGAATGGAATTTTCAAACAAGCTGTCTGTCAAATTGGGTTGGTAGGATTATTCCAGTTGCTCATGGAAAAACCTTGGTAAAAACAGATTGGTAATGATTATCAAAAAGAGATGTAAGCTTCAGTGCTTTCAAAAGTGACGCAATAGAATACAATACAACCTAGTAAATGTTTCATTGATACAATTTTATAGTGACTGTTAAATACATCAGAACCCATACAAATGATTTTGCTCATCTACCATTAGAAGCCCGAGTATTTTGAGTTAGGGCATTTGAAACCCTTCAGCTTATCATTCTTTCAGAGAGATACTCAGGTTTCTTTCGGAACATGGAACATGATGGAATTTTCTTTATATGATCACAAAGGTGAGAACAATTATCCGGTACAATGAGTTGGCCACTGTGCATACCATTTTATCGCAGATAAAACGGGCTATCATGTATGGTTATCGCAATCATTCAACAACTTCCTCGTTGCCAAGGGATTCGCATAGACCGTACAAGTAAAAGTCTACTTAATTTAATCATACATACAAGGTGTTGGATATCGACAGTACAACTTAGAAGCGAGGGTTTATTTTTCCAAAAGGTAGCTTTATAATTCTAATTCCCGGCAGAGGCGAACAGTAGGCATTTATGAAGATTCCCACCAAGATCGAAACATCTGTTGACCATCACACAATATTCCACTGCATCAAAAATGCATATCCTCGTGGTGAATCAACGAACATCTAAACGGACAGATCCAACACAGTGCATAATGCGCACCCCTCATACCCTTGATACATGTGGACACTAGGAGATAATCTAAAGAGGCTTGATCATTAAAAATTATCATGGCAATTAAGCAACTATCCTGTGGCGAATTTTGTCCTAAGCATTAGAAACAAAGCCTGAACTGACAAGCTCGAAAGCCGTTCTTCCGTCGTTTGGTCATCATCACCAATGCAAATCTATCGACCCAGCAGAGATTCGCACCCATTGTTGATTGTCACTAATTGTAAGTCAGAAACCTACACCGTATATGTCAAACCTCGGAGATTTTCCCGGAGCAATAGGTATGTTATGCTATCGTGAGGAAAAACTGCGGATTAAGTATTTCCTCTAAAATTAAATAATTCGCTAGGGTTTGACCAGGTGTTAGTTAAAAAGGGAATTCCAAGTGCCTTCTGCATATGTCAAACACTTTGTATTCTGAAAATGTCACAGTGGTTCAAGGAAAACAGTAATTGTGACCACTGCAATATTGACTTTTGCGCCCTAAGTGATACCTACTATTTGCCAGAAATTAAGCTATCAAGTAAACAACACCGCGCTGCAGGCAACCTTTCCACACGGTTTTGGGACCACCTAGGTAGAATTTAAATTGCTCAGCATCAAGGCCAGGAATCTAACTGACCCAGACATTCGTTTGTGTGTGCATTCAGCGATTTCCTTACAGATTAGTGGACAAACAACTTTCGGCAGTCCGCTAAATATGTCATTTAACAGCAATGCGCTAAAAACTAGCACAAGGCAAGTTCTCTTTTCTGAGCTTATTGCGTGTTTTTCGGAGTGCTTATTAGTCACTCGTTGATCACAAATTGCAGATAGATTTATGGGAAATAGAGAAAATGGATCTGAAATCTGTCCGAATAATAAAACTACGTGAGCCAAAACGGAGCCCTGGGGCAGTCCCTAATATACGATTTCCATTGATAAGAAAGATGGATGTGCACTATGACAGTGGGGAGAGGGGGTGACCACTTTTGTATTGGACACACATGAATATTTTGAAACATTAGACCTCTCTTATCCATCGCATTAAAACGGAAGAAGATACGTCACGAGATATTAACATTTCGTTTAATCTTCTCAATCGCTGGTCGGTCCTTTAGGCTCAATTTTAGTAGACGTATTTTTAGGAATCGATCAAAAAAGCTTCTCATTAGCATCTTCCAATCCACCTTGTATGAAAGGTATGTGGACGACATTTTTATTGTTACAGAGCGTAAACATTTTGAATCCATTTTGAAAGGATTTAACTCTGTTTATCCATATTTCTCCGTATCACCTGAAGTAGGAATCAATTTATTAAGAGTTTTCGATATCAGAATTATGATGTTACATTTAACCTGTTCGCCGAGTTTGGCAATTTGTTTGCAAACGTTTCATCACCAGCCGAGGTGACATCATCAGTGCTCGTGAAGTGGCCAAACAAATTGCCAAGCTCGGAGCTACGAGAACCGAGTTTCAATACTTTGTCAATAATTATGATGTGTTTAGATGGTTCTGTACACCGAAAAGCAACATAGAGAGGTCAGTATCTACAGTCCTCTAGCTTTTCACACATGGATTACAAAAGTAGACTTGCAAAAACTTTGTTCCATCGGTTCAGAAAAATTTGTTTCCCAGAAAAACTGCGAGAAGATGAAGAGTTCCTGAAGAAAACGTTACTGCGAAACGGTTACCCAGAAAGATTCATGGATATCTATGGTAAACAATCTCAAAAAGGTAATCCATCCCGAACTGTTTCCCGTAAAGTGGTTTACATCAAGTTATTTTCCAAGGGTGATCAACTTACGAACGATATGCACCGAAAGTTGAAGTCACCTATGAACAGCACATTCCCAGCTGCTCAACTTCGACTTATTGCCTCTACTCGTGGAACGAATTTCGACAAAGTAAACACAATTGGCAACCCAAACACAC